CCCCAAAACCCCAAAACCCCCTAGACTTGCATAAAACATTCTGACTCTAAGAATAAAATCAACAAAAGCAATTATTAAATTCTATAACATTCCTATACTATTTAGCAATCGTCAATTTTAAATCAGTTTTCTGATTGTGTTGCTAAATTCCTTGGTAGTGTTCATCTCATCATGCTCAGCTCTGCTTCTATACTAATTCATATTGTCTTCAGATATCTCATTAAGGTACTCCTGGATTATTATGTCATCATTTGAATTCAACTTTACGTTCCCTTCTGAATCTCTACGGGATGTTGATGGTAAATCTTCAAACTTATCAATAGAAGCTTTAGTCACTCTCTTATTGTAACTATCCTAGCGCTCCTTTTAAATATCTTTGGAGGACTAGGATTTGATTTAGTTAAGTTAAATTACTTGCTCGTTTATTATTGATTTTAATTTTGAATCTATACCTGTTCTGTCCTATTTAGAACCTTACAATACCTTGAATATATGCTCCTCAATCGGAAATTTAAATTGATCAGATTCAGATTTAATTTCTTTATGATTGAGCAGCTTTATTAATTTGTATTAGGAATCACTTAGCAGCAACTTGAATCCATTGTCAAGTATCTATAGTTTCTTGAGTATATTTACAATATCAATCTTATTTTACACCTTTTTCTAAGCTCGTTTATAAATATCATACCGCCTAACCAGATTTAATCGTTTTTTCTGGCATAGCATCATATACATTTTTTCTTTAAACCAAAGCCGCAGATTATTTAGATGCAATGGCAAAAATTACTCAAAAGCCTATTTTATAACCAAAGCTTTTTCTCGTTTAGTTTTGGCTTTGAAGTAATCAAGGTGTTACTAGTTTGAACTGTCTGCTACCTAGTTTTCCTTTAATTTGTTACCTTTGGAAAACAATAGTCTTTTAATAAGTATATGCTCAAAGAAAATTGTTGAAAAGAACTGGGAAAAGACTTGAGCAAATAGAGCCAGAGATCCTGCAAATCCACCTGTTTCCGTTAGAGCATCAATAAATGAATATCTCTGCCTTTCGAAAAATGCCTGCTTCTTTGCACAGTTTATGTAGAGTGAGAACATTTCATAGACCTCGTCTACTATCTCCCCAATCATTACCTGATCTTGTATAATTTGATAGAATTCATAGTCATCGTGATCTAAAGGTGAAGCAAACCAGTTGTCTTTTGTAGTCAAAAAACTTTTTTAAACTTCAATAAGCTTTGTAAAAGAGAGATCTAGTTTTAGATTCTACCTCAACAGCGTGATTTCTGCTTTGACTTTATTTGCATCTCCGAACTACTGCTCATCAAAGTGATGATCCAAGATCCCAATAATTGGTATCACATCTTTTGTAAATCGTTTGATTTCCTCCTATGACTAGCAAGTCACATTAGAATACTGACTATAGTGCTAATTACTATTTATAGTGGCATTAGTTCTATTCTGGCATGGCGATATATGCAATTAGAGAGTTGTTTTATCTAGATTAGCTTTTAGCCCTTATAGTTTGAAGTTGAGATCCTTAATACAGAACCAACCTGCCTTGTCAATGTCATGAAGCTTTATTTATTGTTATAGTCCAGCGAAATTGTCTAAAGTGCACCTTTCGAATTCCAAGTACTGCTTTTGTCTCTATATATTTTAAAATCCATCATTATCTACAGTAATATGATCAGTTTGAATGAGAGCAGAATATTCCACGTACTGATAAGGATGCAGCAAGCCATCCATGTGAGCATAAGGGTTTTCAAATGTGAAGCCGATCGCTATGTCGAAATTGTTCTTGTTAATGTCGTATGATAGGTTATCACTAACTCCTTAATCGATATTTTTGACATGGACAGTTTTTTCATACTTAATAATTCGCATCACTTAAAGTGCAAAGTAAATACTTACTCCCAATCTGAAGAGGATAGTAATAATTCCTCCCATTGAAGTTTGGAATTTAGTTTTATTTTTATAAGTAAGCGATATAGGAGATCCGTAGGAGTCAAATGACCTCAGAGTCTTCTTGAGTTTGTTGTATATTTTTGTCATTTTGATAAGTCAAGTTTATAATAAGTTGAAATAAATCACTATTTAATTATATTATACACCTTTTTATTAAAAACCATTTTTATCCTCTAAATCTAATCTATCTTTTACGCTGGGGTTTTGGGGTTTTGGGG